ATTCATCTAATCTGATGATCCTATTAAAGTGTTCCAAAGGCATGTGTTTGTGTGTTCAAGCGTCGGCATACGCTTTGAACACTATCGAACCCAAAGTCCACCGCTTCACCGTATCTTATATGACAATCTTGATTACATTACCATATACACAAACATGAGCTCATGCACACGAGCTCACCTACACCTTTTCCTCGCTGAAAGTTCGAGATCTCCAAAGCTCTCGTTGATATTTGTCAAGTTGGCTCTTCACTGCTTAAGTATGCTCTTTCTTCCTAGTGAACTTCAATATTTTATATCCTGTTTTTTTTTCGGTAAAAACACAACAATCGAAGATGATAAATTCTTCTTTCATCCGATTATATCACAGCTTCTTCACCTTCAGTAGGGATAAAACATTCGATAGATTGCTCCTTTTTGGGATGCGCCACGCATTCTACTCCCAATCAGAATTCATAGTGGCATTTTGAATGCGATTTGGCCTATGCAATGACTTGCGGGGCCCAGCCGATGTAAAAGTCAGTATTTTATCCTCCAGACATTCTATTACCGATTATCCGACCCTAAAGGGACAGGACAGAAGGCCTGATTGGGCTGGACTCTATCTTATGCTTTCACTATCTTCAGTAACATCTGAAAACCTTCCGGTGCTACAGTTCCTAGAAGTATGGAGCTAGGCCGCGGTGGGTTGCGGTCATGGAGAACTACTTTTTCGACGGACGTTTCAGCTTGGCCCATCCAGGGAAGGGTCCTGACAGCGTGCTGCAAAAATCATCAAGTGAACATACACTGCTCCGCATAATTATAAAGCCACCTATGTTTCCTGCAAAAACTTTTTTCCTAAGATGCGTTCGAAGAAGCTTCTATATGGAAAAGGATGTAGGTATGAATGTTCTTTTGCACACCAGCACAAAGTTCCAGCTTTGAAATTTGAAGAGTGTTTTTCTGCAATTTTTCGAAAAAGCCGCTCTGACCTATTCCGCATAATTATAAAGCCACCCCATACTTTCTCGTTGCCTTTCCTTCCTGCTCGATTGAATTTTTTTGTTGTTATCCACACTTCGTCTTTAGGTGAAAACGAGAGGAAACCGTCACCATAATCTGAATAAAGGGAAATCGTAACAAAAATCGTGAAAGAGTTGAGAGGCAGTCGCACTGCCCAAATTTCGGGCCAGGTTCGCTTCAGAGTAAACAATTTCTTCGAGCATAGTGTAGGATATGGAGTAAAATTGAGCCTTGGAGATCGTCCTTTGCTTTCGGATTCAGATACACGCCGTCTCATGAGAAAACCAAACAGTTCCATCAAGTTGTGCTCGAAAATCAAACCTTACTTGGAATTAAATTCTCCAACCGGTGTCTGTTCAGCGTCTGTGGCAGAACTGCAGGTTCATTCGCGAGTGAGAAATGTAAAGCGCATTGTTTATGACAACAAAACATCTCAAAAAGTGAGACAGTTTTCTCAAGAAGTGAAGCCGAGCTGACTGGAGTGAGGGCGGTTTTTTATCTGTCATTTCTCACGATACACCTGCCTTTCTTCCAAAGTTCTTTATCTCCAGGATACGCTTCTTCATAAGAGAAGTTATCTAGAGTAAGAAAATGTTTCGAGAAAGGAAGACAAGGCGTAGGAAATGACAGGTAAAAACCGCCCTCACTCCAGTCAGGTCGGCTTCACTTCTTGACAAAACTGTCTCACTTTTTGAGATGTTTTGTTGTCATAAACAATGCGCTTTACATTTCTCACTCGCGAATGAACCTGCAGTTCTGCCACAGACGCTGAACAGACACCGGATGGAGAATTTAATTCCAAGTAAGGTTTGATTTTCGAGCACAACTTGATGGAACTGTTTGGTTTTCTCATGAGACGACGTGTATCTGAATCCGAAAGCAAAGGACGATCTCCAAGGCTCAATTTTACTCCATATCCTACACTATGCTCGAAGAAATTGTTTTCTCTGAAGCGAACCTGGCCCGAAATTTGGGCAGTGCGACTGCCTCTCAACTCTTTCACGATTTTTGTTACGATTTCCCTTTATTCAGATTATGGTGACGGTTTTCCTCTCGTTTTCACCTAAAGACGAAGTGTGGATAACAACAAAAAAATTCAATCGAGCAGGAAGGAAAGGCAACGAGAAAGTATGGGGTGGCTTTATAATTATGCGGAATAGGTCAGAGCGGCTTTTCGAAAAATTGCAGAAAAACACTCTTCAAATTTCAAAGCTGGAACTTTGTGCTGGTGTGCAAAAGAACATTCATACCTACATCCTTTTCCATATAGAAGCTTCCTCGAACGCATCTTAGGAAAAAAGTTTTTGCAGAAACATAGGTGGCTTTATAATTATGCGGAGCAGTGTATGTGTTTCATTGTTCGCGCACGACTTAAAACATCTGTTTGCTGTGTGTATATAATCGGGTCACCACACGAGCTTTGAATACGGCCCTTTTGAGTTTGTTGATTCTCTTTCAATAATTTGAAGTCGTATACGAGGCACCTAAACTTTGGCAGATACAGTGCTTATTTTGTGTATAAACGGCATGGCGACTTGACATGGAACTTCACAAGCAGAAAACACTGTAACGTGCATGCATATCGAGTCAGTTTTCAACAGACCCGGCCATAAGTATAGTACTAAAATCTCAGTAAAGATTGGAATAGAGACGTTAGAATTAAGAACTGCTCCCATTACATTCGGCATGTTCAATTCGTCACGCGCATTTCGAGTCAGCCGAATAAGCGGCCATCGCAACAAATCGACAACATATGTTTGTGAGAAAGTCCTCTTGTCTAATTGTAAACTCAATATGGAACGCTTCTGCACGCTTGCCGCTGTACGGGAAGTTGCGGAGACAGGCAGCACTCGTAAGGTATTGATATTCAACAAAGCTCAAGAAAGCTATTGTGCCAAAAAAATCGTAGATGTTCTAAATCAACTAAATGATGACTGTTCCTACTATTCGTTTTTTTACAATCTACGCGATGATTATCTTTTTACGAGATGAACGGCGAACTATGTGCTTTCCTACAGAGTCTCATTCTTACATGCATTCTCTTATCATGCTTTATGGGATGCCCCAATCTCTGAAGAGCTGCTGGCTATTTATCCGTGCGCAAAGCCTACCGCGGTTTGATGGCTCGTAATATTCATTTTACAATAGCACTTCCTCAAAACCTAACACATAATAGAAGAATCTCAAATTTCCTTGATTTCAACTTCGTTAGCATTTTAGTTTCTGACAGGCAGAATCGATTGAATTTTTCGTTCGTTTAACTGACACTTCGCAACCGTATCAGAAATCTGTTCACTGAACCTTATGGCATTGTGGTCTGTGAATACTTCTGAAAACTTCCAGTGATTTGTTCTCGATAGTCAATAACCTGTAGTACGGCGTCTTAACTTGCACATTTTTTTTTCTTATCTGACTATTATTTTGGCTATTTTCAAATTCCATTGTAATATTTCCATCTTTTTTCACACCAAAAACATTCAAAATATCGACCAAGCTCAACTTTGCATCACTTTCGTACAACTATCCCACAAACGGCGCTCATTTCTTTCAGAAGAACTCCATACTTGCTTTGTAGCTTCTAGCAGACGGACTGTATTTTTGTGGTTTCTAATAAGTCGTTGGTATTCCATTCTAGCCCACACTTTAACGTCCAAGTTCGACTTGTATAAATCTTGGCATAATCCAGAATATGAGAGTGTAGTTGCTAAGCTTCCAACCAAAATTGATAATAACTTTTATTAGGCCGACGTTTCGGTGCTTTCACCTTCTTCAGAGCCTGGAAAAGTCGAAAACCATTTAGGAAACTACCCGTCCAAACACTATTTCAACCTACAAGAATCATTCAGCAAGGTGTGAAACTACTAGGGCGATGTCATGGAAGAAGATTAGAAACGAACCTTCAGAAATGCTGACCAGAGAGGTCTACCTGCCACCCCGAGCTCGCACTCTATATGAAAGGCCTTCCGGTCATTGCTTTATGGGACCTCGGAGGGTTCACGACGTAAACTCCCACCTTTTAATGTTTTTGAAATTCATAACAGTGAACAAACATGTGGCTTATCTGATAGATTATTATTATTGGTAAATGAAAACGACTATCAATATTGTATCAATTTCCCCAAAACACCATGCTCCGACGCATTATCAAAAAATATCATCAATTATCATTTGCATATTTGTACAGATAATATATGAAGAAACAACTTTAACAATTAAAAACAACCAAGGAAATAGAAAGAAATTAACGCTGCAATGTGAAACTTTCTCAATGTAGCAACTGACTCAGCTTTCAGAAGAGCCTTTTACTGACGGTCAATAGATACGCCGAGAACACTGTCTATCTAAAGAATGTTCCTACGAAGCGTCGTGTCGCCCAGTAAATCTTCCATGGAAATCAATCTCAGCTTATAATCTATTCGACATTACTAGCTTGGTCACTAGTTCACAGTACTCAGCCTAGTTCCCGAACTTTTCGCTCTACCGTAATTTCCCTTTTTTCCCCATCTCAAAGTCAGGTGATGGAATCGTCGGCGTCGCTTTGATGTACGTAACAGAAATTCGGCAAACGAAAAATCTGCACGAAAGCTGCTGGTAAGCGGAAAAAAAGGAAACGAAATGTGGTCAGAACCCATAGGTCGATGGCAGTATTTCAGTCAGTCACTGTGCGTGTGTGTGTGTTTTTCTCAGTCGAAGGTTACGATCCCCACGCATCGGTCATAAACCCGAGTTAGACTCGCACACACACGCACACACACCCATGCACGGTTCCCCTGTGACGTATAGCTCTGAGTAATATGCGCACATATACGAATTCTTTATATACAAGGTGATTGAGCCACGAGCATTCGTCTGCAGGGACATCGAGGGTTTTGCAAGGGAAAATGGGGGTTCCCTGACAGCACTCAGCTTTTCTAGGTATTGATTGCTCAAAATGAGGTCTGGAGAAGGTCTAGGGATCTAGAAATATATAGATCATATCCTAAGTTTGTCCACTTCAGAGGCTATAGTATGGAAAAGGGCTCAATCAGAGAATAAGAGCAAGAACACGTGTGTTATAAGGCTTGCAGTGACCTAATCTGACCTCTATAGACCACCCATAGGCCATTCAAACATCCGCCCATCAAAACTGCTTAGTTATACAGCCATCAAGCCATATATATGGTATATAGTTGCATTACGATCATTTCATCGGCGCAAAGCTGATGGTCGCCACGCCGCCGCCGTCAGCAGGGGGCGGGGCATCGCGGCGGGTGCTTGGCGCCTATTGGTCGGTTACGGTAGCGACGAGGCGGCCCGTGGCGGGGCGTGGTCGCGGTCGGCTGGCTTGCACAACGGCGACCGACGCGCATCGCGCGGCCTTATAAAACTTTTTAACTATCCACTTTACTTTGTTAGTGGCGCGTTTTATTGTATGATGGCTATTTGGTGCCCCCTACGACGTACGTATCGAATAGGAAGTGTTCTCTCGGCATGTGTTTGATAGGCGCTTACGGGCAGACATTTGGCTGGCGGTGTCTTATTCACATAGTGACAGAAAGCCACATATACACACACATAAATGACCATTAAGTATGGTTACGGCACACTCGTTAACTATCAAGAATCACACATTAGTCGACTGGCGCTAGGGTGTTAAAGGACTTTACGGGTTGTCGTTAAGCTGTCAATGTGAATTTATTCGTCCGCAACTGGGGGAATCCCCTTACCACATAATAAACGACCCGATCGCATCCATCAACTTTAATGGGCATCAATTTATTTGTTTGGGATCAACATGAGCTTCACTCATTGTTTTCTCGTGGGAAATGAGTTTATGCTCAGGTAGCTCACTTCTGAAAGTACTTTTGTGAATGTCTTGAGCATCCTTCTTTCTTTGCATGATATCTGGTGGATAAAGGGCTCTGACACAGTTCAAATCTTCTCGTTTCCTCCTATTTCCACCTTGACCACATTTCTTTGAGACTTGGCTCATTCC